CGGGGGGCTAATGTCGATTCTCACGAGATAACTGGTTCTCGGGGCACCTCATTTGTTTTTAGTTTTTTTTTGGTCTCCCCTGGCCGTTCTTTTCAGGGATACCTGGCCTAGGGGTCTTTTGGAGTTGAACATGTATTATATTTGGTTTTAGTTTCTTTCCCTCCCCCCCCAGGTCATTCTTTTTAGCTTATTTTTAGTGATTCTGATATTTGGCCTAGGGATATTTTAGAGTTACCTTGTATTTAGTGATTCTGATATTTGACAAATGACTTCTATTTAATCAGCCTTTCTAGCTTTTTGGCCAATAATTAGTGGAGAGTCCTTCTTGCTTTTCTTTCCTTTGGATGAAAGAACTCTTCTTTTGATTCTGCCTGTTCATTAGTAGAGACGGCCTTTTGGCCAATAAGACTCCTTATAACCATACGTTAGATCGTCATAACGACAGGTTAGATCCATATGTGCTGAAGGCAGTCGATTGAACGGAACAGAGATTGGAAGTTGGAGGGCAGCTTTTGTTGTATTTTACCTTCTGTTTTTTTTCCCTTTTCACCTTCTGTTTTTTTTCCCTTTTTCCCAAGCTCAGCTTTTGGAGCAGCCTACAGCCTTCATTTTGCTCTGGGGACTGCAGTCTATGCTCTCTCCGTTACGGGGGAGAGAGAGAGAGAGGGAGACGCCTAGGGTAATAGGCCATCATCGACTATTGCTTCTTCGCGGAAGTCTTTTATTTTGTGGTTTTGCAACAAGCTTCGTGTATATAGCACAATGCTTCTCTCCTGCGACGCCCTTCCCCTGATTTCGTCCCCTTCCCTGCCAGTTTCGCATAGTGGAATGATGCCGTCAGTCTGGTTCTGGTGTTTTCGATACAAAGTTCGGGTATTTACTGCTATGCCTCTCTCCCTGGACCTATCCCGTCTATCTTCCTGTAGAGTAGACGACTGTTATGTTAATCAAAAAATGGAAAGAGAAAATGCAGGGGAACAGTGTCGTCGCTTTGTTTTTGAGTTTGTCCATCAACCCATAGAAATTGTAGGGCGGGCTGGCGGGCAACTGTAGCAGAGGCCCGGTCTTCGGTACCCCCGAAATCCCAGGCTACCACCAGCGGCCCCTGGCAGGCAACACTTCTGATCAGTGGTTCGCAAGGGACCAGTGATTTGTTAAGGACATGAAATTGTTGTATAATGGGACGCTGGACCCGGTTTCCAGCAGGTGCCGCTCATCACCAATAGACTGGAGCTTGCGCTCGTACCGCATAGCCTAGCAGGCCGAGGCTGGTTGTGTATTCTCCCCCTCTGCCAACGGTTTACCGGGCAGCCTCTGTTTGACGATATATATATATATGTATATATATAGTTTCTTTCAGAACTGACTGACAATCCCCTCTGCCTCAATGATTATTTGTAGCCTTCCTGGCAGCTTCCTACAGTGCGTGGATGCACGAAGCGGCACTCTCTCTCTCTCTCTCACACACACACACAGACACACACACACACACAAACTCGCAGGGAAGAGAATGACATGAACACGAAGCAGAGGAACGGCGACGAGAGAGAACGAAGAGGGCGGCAGACACTCACTGTGGGATGCTAGAACGAAGAGGGCGGCCGACACTCACTGTGGGATGCTAGACGGCAAAACTCCAAGCAGCGGGACAGGAGGTTGTTCTTCACGAGCTTCTCCGCCGTGCAAGCAGCCGGAGAGGAGTGTCGACTGCCCTGCAGCAGCTTCTCCACGTGTCAAGAAAAATAGCGGCGGCGCAGCACAGGAAGATGCCCACCCCTTATGAGGGCATATGGCGCAGAGCCCAATGGAATGGGACCGTCGTTGAGGGAGGGCGTCATGGAAATACCGACAGTGGCCTGCCGAAAAGATTTTTAGCTTCAGGGGCGCGACGGGTATTGCAATAAAAGAGACCTGAAATGCCGCCCTGTCCACATTCGACAGGTATTTGGATTGGTTGGGCGGCCGTGGGAGGGGCGCGACGGAAAATAAAGGAAAATACAGGGGCGCCAGACAAATCTTCGCTTTCAAAAAAAAAAAAATTTGGACCTCGATTTATGCGTCTCTTCCATGCTAATCTTCTCTGTATGCGTGTCGCCCTTTTCTTGTTTTCGTGAGGCAATTCAGGAATTTCGTTCATCTGGTTCGTTCTGAATTCGAACTCACGTCTACATTTCAGCAGTTTATCGGCGTACCAACCAACTGACAATCTGGCGAGGGGGACTTCAGAAGTTGTCTCTGCTGTCAGGTCCCATTGCTTGGATTCTTCGTTCCAGGCCGTCGATCTTAATGATCGATTGGGAGAAATGACAGTATTGCGGTGAGTGGGACTGCTCCAGTAACACTGCGGCTTTTTCTAGTTTTCGTGATAGCGCAATGGCGGGGAGATTTCGTGATTTTCACGATGGCCGATTGATCGGATCTGGGTGTGATCGCCATCTCACGGAGGAGAGGGGTGAATGGAGAATGGGTGAGCGCGAATCCCTTCTTTCCACGAAGTCTTATCGAACGCGCGTGGTCAGATGCGTTTTCAAAGTGAAAGAGTTTAAGACGGGAGAAGCTTGGATGCTTACTGTATCTGACGGTATAATTACACTACGAGTTTTTCCACTTCTCTGTGGATGAAATTGCAGTCAGGTGCATCCAGAAGGGGTCGGAAAAGGGGTCATATACGTCCAGGAAAGTCCTTTTTTTTTATTTTTTTTTTATTTTTAACATTCTCACGAGACTCTCATCCTAGCGCTCCTCTTGATACTTCTCCTGGCGCACCCCCACTCCATTTATATCTTACCTCATGCGAGGAACATCACTCTCTACTGGAGCAACCTGACCAGACAGCGGACTCCGGCACTGACGCTGAATGAGCTCCCCCATTCAGTCCCAGTTGAGGCACTAGCGTACAAGAGCGTTATACGGGAACCTCGGGAGCTTGGCTAATAGTTCTCAACTAGTCCCGTGAGCAGTGAGGGCACTCATAGGCAGTGTCTAATGGTCAGCTAATCAAGGTCTAAGCTATGAGCCCCTCTAAGCACTAACCTACCACAGCTCAGATCATATAAGGCTACTGTTGGTTGTTGAATATGCTGGTTGTTATG